GCGAGGTTAAGGAAACTCTGAAAAGTCGTTTAAGACATTTGGGCCATTTTCTGTATCAGATGTCATTAATTATCTGGTTGGCGTTAAGAACTGCACATTTGCTGTGGTAACTTTTATTTTTAAACAATGCCAGACAATATACAAGCAAAACCTACATATTAAAATGTCATCTTTCAGATTGTATTTCTTCGTGAATTACATTGTATATAACATTGTTGTATTACGTACGGTATTACGTACGATGTAGCGTAAAGAAATTACTGTGGTAAACGGACATACTATCCTACATTGCACCATTACACACTCAGCAACCCATAAAAACTGTTTGTTCTTTCTTATAGAGAATCCATAATATTCAAGTTGACATCTTAGTAAAAGGAGAGGGTACAAATTAACGTTCCCTTATAATAAATGTCCCTTTGTTGCCGTAGTTTTTTTTTTTTTTTTTTCAACATTCGTCTAACTTTTTTGCAGCTGTAATTCATATAACTCGTCACATCCATATTTTCATGCTTGAAGAGGCTTATTACTTTGTGAAGAACAATAGTATACTTACAGCTATTTTAGGGAGGCATACCCCCCTAACAGACAGGAATGAGCCGGCCATATTTGATCCGCAGATTTAATAGAGCGCATTCAGAACAGATGGTCCGCGGACTAACTGATCCGCCAACTTAATATGGCCGACGCCACTAAAAAGCGATGCTGCTAATTCTCTAAAACTCAGTCCCTAGGTTTAATTGCTAGACCCGTGCTGCGACGGCGTTTGTGGAGGCGGGGAGATCATCAGGGGATTAGTCCGCGCTGCTTTTAAGTGCGTCGGCCATATCAAGTCAGCGCTGCATTTAGTCCGCGAATCGACTTGTTGTGAGAGCGTTCTTATTCTGCAGATCAAGTTTGGTTGTGAAAGCGGCCTCAATTGGCGCCACTGTGCCCAGTGCTGCCTCCAGGCCGCATTGTATGAACACGACATAGATTGACAAACAAGCAAATTGCAGCTTACCAGTATCTTTTTTAGAGACTTGATAAGATTGATCAGCCCTTATGTACAGCATATATAATTAAGTTCAGCTTGCAGTACTTGTCTTTCTAATTATATATACATTAAAAACACGTCCGTAAGGCAGTGACATGGCGAGTTAACAAAGCTGTGGTCACGTTAAACCCCTTTTGAGCACTAGCACTTTTCATTATTATTATTATTATTATTATTATTTATTTATTTATTTTATTTATTTCTATTTTTTTATTTTATTTTATTTTATGTTATTTATTTATTTATTTTTTGTAACTGCTGTGAATACACGATCCCATGTCCCAAAAAAAATCACGAGGAAAACAAAATAAAGCTGTTAGGCTGTGACAATGTAACGTATGCCTATGTTTTGTCTTAGACCCCATTCCCACAGATTTTAGATCGATCTATCCCCGTGGGGAGTCTCACTAGATTACTGTCAGCTTAGCCGTCTGTCCCGCCTACTAAAAGCTGTAAAGGGGTAATTAACTTCAGTGCGCGCTCGGCTGACATCAATTTAGCGTGAACCCTCAGGGAGTTAGGTCGATCTAGAGGGATCCGTCGGCAGGACAACCCTTCGACCACGGGTACAAGGGGGTTGAACCCCCAAGACTATAGTATATTGGGCTGATTGATAACCCTGACATTTTTTTTCTTTTTCACACACACACGGTACACTTAAAATAAAATTTGAACCGAGTAACTACACACCTTGGGTTTGTTTGTCACAAATGTGTCCATGAAATTAAGAACATGTGATTGGCTTACTTAAGCAACATTAAAATCTGCACAGCGTGTGTGAGCATAAGCACACATTTCTTGTACAGATGTCACCCTTAATTAATTAACATAATAACTGGAATTTAAGTTTATTTTAGTGAACTGAGTTCATCTGGGTACATAAAACAAACTGCTTGACACCGTGCCCTGATATATTTGCACTAATTAACGAACATCTGCCAATAGCAGAGGTAAAAATAGATTGATATATTAGACAACAAGGACACCTTATTTCCAGACCTGGATAAGCAGATTAGCACAGTAAATGTTTACTGCAATGATAAAACAGTTTGTTTCATTGACCGCAATGAAAATGTATTAATTGTCTCTATCTGCAAAGAATTCCATACAAGAACCTTGACTGAGTCAAAATGAATGATGAAACGGTTTGTTAATATTACCGTTGCCCGTGCCATCCAGTAGCATCCAATTAAAATGCATTTAGTGTCTCTACAGGCAAAGAATATCACATAAAAACCTTGGCCGTGTCACTACGACCAGAAATATATACATATAAATGTCAAAGTAAAACTCATAATTCAATTTAGATAAAAAGTGAAACGCCCCTTGGAAAGTCTAGTGAACATAATTATATACAATGTTTTTATGCTTTAAACACATATTATTTTACTATATAATTAAGTATTCCAAAAAATCGCTTCTACGTCTCCTACGAAAACTCCGTGCGCTTTTAATGAGTGTAATATTAATATTAACCTATCTACGCACTTTTCAATCTATCGTGTGGAAAAATCCTAACTGAATATTTCCACGCAAAAGGCCAAAATACACCGGTCAACGAGCAGGGTTAAAAGTCCAAAGATCACGTACCTGTCTAGACGACTGTGTACTTGATTTCCCAGCGGGGCGAAGTCCCAGTCTATCTCCTTGACTGCTACATAGTAATGACGGACTAAAGCATCTGAAAACAACCAGAAAAGAGATCAAATTAGTTTTCAAAGAAAACCTACGTGCAGATTTCGCCAAAGAGACGTAGGTTGACCTTGTGTAAAAGATTGGTTTTCGTAAAAAAAGTTTGACGAAAATAATTGACCTGAAACATATAGATGGACGTTTACATCACCCCAAAGCCTTTTAAAAAGTCAGGGACTCAAAGTTTCCCTCTTTTTCCATTACATACATTGTTTGCCAATTGCTGGTGTTTTCGCTATTTGACTTCATAAAATATGAAAAGTAATTAAAACTTTCAGTTGTCAAAACTTGTCATATGAAATTAATGGAAAAGTATCGCAATCGCATTTAAAAAATTCGTTTGCTTGTGTCCCACGACAATAGTTATCTTCCTCGGTCTTTGAATAGATGAACAATTCGGTGTCATTTGTCACCGTGGACAAGTTGATGTTTTTTGTTCCTTTTTCGGTGTTCAACTCAGAACAGGACTGAGTACCGGATTGCGTGTAAAAAAGAGATTTGAAAAAAATGCTTATTGCCCTCCACGTGGTTCAAACACACAACCCTGTGTTCTCAATGCTGCGGCAGATGTCTCCATTATCCGACTACTGGAGGTTTAGGAGAGACAAAGGTCCTCTTCACATGGAGCGTTATATCTTTGTGACACTGTAGTGACGGCATGCTTTAAGAGTTTGACAACTTCATAGCCTGTCAAAAAATATGATGATAATAATAATAAAATAGTCGTCTACACTCTGGTTCAAACCCGACTCGAGAAGTTGTAAACTTCTTGCCCGACTTAACATAATCGCCGCGCTCGACGAGGCCAATATCAGTCACGTCCACTCAAACAGTAAGAAGTTAAAACACAGAGTTGTTGGGAAAGGAAGAAAAAATTACCAGAAAGAGCACCATAATGGCCTGGTAGTGTTTTTATTTTAGTTGTCTGCAAGTCTATTTCTGCTGTCAAACCGTTGCTGTCAAAACTGTCGGACCAGATTCGGTAACTCTATGTGCTTTTATAGCAATTAGGATTTTTCAGGATTAAAAGTAAAAGGTTTAGAGCTTTTGTCTAGTCAAGCGTAGGTTTTTAATCTCTCTCTCTCTCTCTCTCTCTCTCTCTCTCTTTTATTTCAGGGGCGGATTGAGGCCGTCTTCTGGGTCAGATTTTCAAGTTTACATTAACGGGTGTCTAATTTGTTTTCTCTGTCGGAAGACGGTCAAAAATGGAGGATGGATCAACAAAGATGATTTGGAAGACTGTCAGAAAATATATCCGGATCCGCCCCTGTTTTATTATTATTTTTTATCATTCATAATTCATACAAACGTTTGCTATATATTTGCAAGTTAGCCTATGAAAAAAGGCCTTATAAGGAGGAAGAAATTGTTCTTCGAACACTGGCAGTTAAATAAATATAAACAATACACTACGGTCATTGTCCAGGCAGATTTCAACAGTTAAATCCACTAAACTTTAATTATCCTAATTTAATACTATGTTAAAACTGGATCACATTTTCACTTTTTTCTCTTCCTTATTTACTGCTTGCAGTAACACAAGCAATAAGAAATGGTTACATATACTGTAAACCAGTAGACAGCTAATACAAGAACGGAAACAAGATCGCTTCCTAAAAAACAGTAAAGCCATTGAATTGCAATGATACAGCAAGAATTTTTTTAAAAAGAAAATGAAAAATTGGCAAATTAAATGGCAGTACTTACCGACTTTCGTGACGGAATTCAAGCCTATCACCGCGAGACACAGCAAGACGATATGAGTTCCCATTACATTGGCTGCACCAGTCTCTTGGGTCTTCTGGGAGACTGGCTACGACGACTTATATATATATATATATGTATACATATATGCAAATTACCAATAATCCAACAGCAGGTGGCATGAGCAATTCCCTTAGTACCCTCTGCTGCAGAGATCGAATTTAGCAGTAAATTTAGTTGTGAGAAAAGCGTACACTCAAACACTTTATTTTCTATTTTGTGGTTTGTTATATTGTCAGATTCGTACGCCGTGGGTGGAGGAACGTTGGTGGGGGGGGGGGGGGGCGCAGTTAACAAACCACCCTTTTTGCTGGAAAAATGTTTTCAGTCACAATTTGAGCTAGGTTCTATGCAACGCGGTAAAAGGGTCCACTACACTAAAGAAAAAGAACCTCCTTTAAAAGTACTGGCAATAGGTCTGTTTATATTATATTATATTATATTATATTATATTATTTATATTATATTATATTATATTATATTATATTATATTATATTTCTGAAAGACGAAGGCGAACTCTGCAGAAGTGGCTCAACCTGTAGACAACTACTGGACCCAACTACACTTTGACTGCGTTCCCTTAAACCCATCTAGCTGAATGGATCTAACTCTGCGGGGTTTCCAACTTAAGTGCTTTCACCCTTATATGCTTAATTGTCTGACACGTCCCTTTGAGTGTTTGGGGGAAGGGGGGTAACCGACTATCATTAATTGACTATCGTTAATTGACTATCGTTAAATACCCCTTAGCAGCTCGAGTAGGCGTGCCAGACATTTAAGCCGCTTACACTGAATGGAATTTAGCGAGAAACCCCTCAGAGTTAGATGGTTCCAGCTAATACGTTGGTTTTATGGGAACGCTCCCTTTGTCTAGCATGGTGCAATGTAACACGGGGACACCTGGTAAAGGGTGGTCCCGAATACCGCTGTTATATAAGTTACTGAGGGAGACTTACAACATGTAGCAATGAACGGAACATATGTGGTATGTTTAGGTACAATTTCGTTTACCAAAAAAAAATCTGGCGCCTCCTTTGTACTTTTGCGTTGATACGTGCAATTTGCCGTTGGCTCTTGTGGCTAATATCAGTGTGTTTTTCGAAGACGAGAGAGAGAGAGAGAGAGAGAGAGAGAGAGAGAGAGAGGGTGAGAAAGAGAGAGAAAGAGGGAAAGAGAAAGAGGGAGATAAAGAGAGAGACAGAGCGAACGTCGGGGTGCCAAATTGCCAAATATTATAATAAAACATTTAAATAAAATTATTCCACAAAAGTGGCGGTTTTTTATCACATGATATATTATGGATCAAAAATTGTAGAAGTAGTCAATATGGTCAGTTTTTTTTAGTTTTTCGCATGGAAAGTGCTGTTGTGCAATTTTGTCTATATCAAAACGCAATCAGAGAGGAATGTACTGGCTAGCTTTATCGTCCTGCTATCACTCCTTCACCCTATTGTATTTTTCCATTAAATAATACGATGAATAAATTATCTATAAATCTATTCCTTCATGTTATTTCTTTTTCATCTTTGTCCGTGTGTGTGTGCGGGGGGGGGGGGGGGGGGGGGGGGGGAGGGGGGTATGACTGAAAGCAGCAGAGATATGCTTTACCTGTATGCTCCACCACACGTTTTACATAACCAGTCAGGCTGCCCACATTCTCAAAGAAAACTGTTCCATCGGTTTCGAAAAAAAAAGTCATCTAAGAAGATGCCCTCAGGTCATGTATTATTCACATTAAGTCAGACGTCGCTCTTATTTTTGCCTGACAAACTTTTTATTACAACCTTCTGTTCTGCGTTTGAATCCAGACAGTGATAGGTAGTTAATAGCCATCCAGCTGATGTTATATTTTAAAGTTTCAAACATGCAATAAACTTAATTGTATTCTTTCGCACCGTATTGTATTGTATTGTATTGTATTGTATTGTATTGTATTGTACTGTCATTCACACAACACACAGTCTGAGGTATTTGACGTTATCTCGTCTTTCTGTTCTGGAATAATTCTAAGAACTGACAAAAAACCTTTGAAGAAGACCCCTTTCACAACATTCACGCACTTCAGTTCTTCGGTGAAAGGTTGTGAAAGGTCTACTACAGCACAGGCAATAAACGGCACCCAGCTCCGCCCATCCAATAAACCTGCCCATCAAATGTGACAAACGTGACCGCAGCGGTCACACTGAGCATGTGCGGACAGCCAAGGTCAATATGGCGGGTATACCGCCCTGATGCTGTCTGATGTTGTCTGAGCATGTAAAGAATGGTACACATGCACTGCTGGTATATCAATCAGTAATTGCAGTAATCAGCAGCTGGATAATGTGGGATAACAACCGACGACGTCCTCAAATAACCTGATGCAATGTTAGCCTAACTGCATACTGATAATGAAATGGTCCGGGTTTTTTTTTATTTCAAATAAAATAAAATTTTCATCTGTGCACGAAAATCGGGATGGTAACTCTCTTATTAAGAGCCAGGGGAAGGGGAATAAAATGTTTAACTGTACCGTGATGATCACTGGGTAACACTAGAGTGGGTCTCTCCTAAACACGAACAACACGATGATAGCACTGTTTTCTGTGACAGCCCTGAGGAAGAGAATTTAAAATGACATTCCAGGCCGTATTGCTGTCTGTCCTCTCACGTCCTGGCTTTCATCTGGTTAGGACCCTCCGTGCGTGGAAATTGGGATAGTAACTTCACTGTTCAATTTTTTAATAAACACCCAGGACGTTGTATCACCTTTGAATACGTTTTTTGTTCTCTCATTTCACCATAATATCTTGTTTTGTGTTTGTTCTTGCTCCCTCCTTTCTCTGATGTTTGACCTTTAGTACGTGTTTATTGTGCTGGTAATTTATCATACGAATACACACTCATTTTTTTCACCTGAAGTTCTTTAAGATTTATTTATTTATTTATTTATTTATTTATTTATTTATTTATTTATTTATTTACTTATTTTTTCTATGTGTACATATGGGTCGAGCCATGGTTCGTGAGAGGGAGAAATTGTGCTTTTTCTTGTCGAGAAAAAAGAATGGCAGGAAGTAATGTCCCTTTGTTTTTTGTTTTTTTTAATCTAAATGTACACGACTGGTTCAGGATCCTCTCTTGTCACGGTACCACGTGCGGTTTCACGGTTTAAGGTTCACTCCACTAGTTTGAAAAATTTCCCCAAGTACTTATTTTTGCCATCCACAGCTTCTTATAAATCTTACATACACATTAAAAAACGATTTAAGCCCTCAAATGATTTATTCTGGAGCGTACTTGATGTTGATATTTACATAGGAAGCATATAGGAAGATGGTCGCTGCTATAATGACTGGCCAGTCATTTTAAGCTAACACCAAACTTTTATCAAAGGTCAAATCCAAGTGCAGATAGGGATAGATAAATGATATTTTCCAGGGAAAATCCATTATGGCGGGTACATCTCATGCAGTGTGTCTTTAATAAATCCAACACGACATCGCAAGCAGAGATTATTAATACTCACGCACTTTGTTCTAAAGAATGAATAGGACTAAGTTTATAAATTACTTCATTCGTGTAGATATGTTTTTCAATAGACCAAAGGGTGCTTTTGTCATTTTTATTCGGCTATATTGTTGCTCTGTCGCCTTCGCACAGCAAAAAAAAAAGTATCACTCTCTACCAGAGCGCAGCTACATGTAAATGATGACGGCAATTCGGTGCGAAATTTGTCATTGATCGCAGTGCAGACATGTACACAGAATTAGCCAGAAAAAAAATTATGGGAATATGTTTAATATGTTTAATANTTGTATTGTACTGTCATTCACACAACACACAGTCTGAGGTATTTGACGTTATCTCGTCTTTCTGTTCTGGAATAATTCTAAGAACTGACAAAAAACCTTTGAAGAAGACCCCTTTCACAACATTCACGCACTTCAGTTCTTCGGTGAAAGGTTGTGAAAGGTCTACTACAGCACAGGCAATAAACGGCACCCAGCTCCGCCCATCCAATAAACCTGCCCATCAAATGTGACAAACGTGACCGCAGCGGTCACACTGAGCATGTGCGGACAGCCAAGGTCAATATGGCGGGTATACCGCCCTGATGCTGTCTGATGTTGTCTGAGCATGTAAAGAATGGTACACATGCACTGCTGGTATATCAATCAGTAATTGCAGTAATCAGCAGCTGGATAATGTGGGATAACAACCGACGACGTCCTCAAATAACCTGATGCAATGTTAGCCTAACTGCATACTGATAATGAAATGGTCCGGGTTTTTTTTTATTTCAAATAAAATAAAATTTTCATCTGTGCACGAAAATCGGGATGGTAACTCTCTTATTAAGAGCCAGGGGAAGGGGAATAAAATGTTTAACTGTACCGTGATGATCACTGGGTAACACTAGAGTGGGTCTCTCCTAAACACGAACAACACGATGATAGCACTGTTTTCTGTGACAGCCCTGAGGAAGAGAATTTAAAATGACATTCCAGGCCGTATTGCTGTCTGTCCTCTCACGTCCTGGCTTTCATCTGGTTAGGACCCTCCGTGCGTGGAAATTGGGATAGTAACTTCACTGTTCAATTTTTTAATAAACACCCAGGACGTTGTATCACCTTTGAATACGTTTTTTGTTCTCTCATTTCACCATAATATCTTGTTTTGTGTTTGTTCTTGCTCCCTCCTTTCTCTGATGTTTGACCTTTAGTACGTGTTTATTGTGCTGGTAATTTATCATACGAATACACACTCATTTTTTTCACCTGAAGTTCTTTAAGATTTATTTATTTATTTATTTATTTATTTATTTATTTATTTATTTATTTATTTACTTATTTTTTCTATGTGTACATATGGGTCGAGCCATGGTTCGTGAGAGGGAGAAATTGTGCTTTTTCTTGTCGAGAAAAAAGAATGGCAGGAAGTAATGTCCCTTTGTTTTTTGTTTTTTTTAATCTAAATGTACACGACTGGTTCAGGATCCTCTCTTGTCACGGTACCACGTGCGGTTTCACGGTTTAAGGTTCA